GGGGGGCAGCCTCGCTTGACTAAATGCAGGAATCTTCCCTGTTGCTCTGACTCCCTCTGTCCATCCTCACTCACTCTGGCTGGACACCAGGAGACCCATTCCTGGCTTGTGTGAAGCTTCTTCAACTCCTGCCAACTTGGTTTTTGGGACCCCCACTGCAGACCCCTCTCTCTCCCCCTTCCCTTGCCTTTCACAATTTCCTGGGATGCAGCTTTTCTTCATGGACAAAATTGAACCCCAGTAGTTTATTTCCACCTTTTCTTTGTCTCCTGTTAGCATTTTACCTTCTTCGCTGAGCAGCTGGTATATGAGTTATTTTGTTTGTTTGTTTTGAGCACATCGGTGAGTTTTTGCTCTGCAATTCTGGGATACTTGTTTGTACTCTTCCTATCTTCCTACAAGTCTTGTTTCCGTTTCCTGAATCGGTCTTCAGAGCTTCACTAAATTCTTCTACCTGCCCAGAGTTTATCAAACAGGTGTGAAAATGTTTTTCTTCCAGATAAATGCATCTATTCAAAGCTACTACAATGTTTTCAGTTGAGCTAATATTTATATCAGGAAAGGTGATATGAATGCTTACCTTTTGGGGATAGATTCTGCATTTTTCTTACAAAATATGAAGTTGGACTGAATGGCCTGCATAAAGCTGTCTGAACAATGTTACGTGCAGAAGAAACCCGTTTTTTTCCTACAGAACGTACCGTATGTGATGGTTAAAAGTGTTGACTGGGCCCAGAGATACCAAATTCCATCCTGGCTGGTTTGGGGCCAGTCTCTTTCTCCCTCTCTCGGCACAATTTATTCCCCTCGTTTGAGAAGGAATAAAATGCAGGGAGAGCCACACATCCCCTGCCTGGAGTGGTCAGAGAAGAGATGCCCTCAATGGAGAGGCCGTTTTCCACGGCTGTCCAAAGAACGCCGTCGGTCAGTACGGTAGAGCTTTTGGTTGTGCCCAGAGGCTTCTCCTCAGCACGTCTCACGTTCATTGACTGGAGATTATCACACACCGTATGCTGATGACAAGAGCTGGGAAGCTTTGCTGTTTTCTTAAAAATCTGGCTTTAAAATAAATTACCCAGGGCTGCTTTAGAGTAGGGAAGCACTATAGAAAGAAAGAAAGAATTGGAGTAAAAATAGTAATCGGAGAGTTTGTTTCAGCAACTGCACAAACACATGTGTTTCTCATCACGGCAAGGGGCCTGCTCTGTGTTGAATTGGGCTCTTTCCAACCTTCTGTTGAAATCTGGCAGGAGAGCCTATTAACTCCGTACTTAAATGACTGACTCACCAAATTATGCAGGATGCCATTAGATGTGGGAGACCTTTTCTCAAGCTAGATCAAATCCATCTGGAAGAGAGAGCAAAGGGGGGGGGGGGGCGCGCCAGGGAAGCCCAGGGGGAGGAGTTCGGGTCACCCTGCCTGCTTTTGTCCTGAACCTGCAAATAAAAGTAGGACGACCGGGGCGAAGGAAAGCAAAGGTAGTACCAATAGAAATAGGCACCTTGGCTGAAACCCCAGAATAACTGGATCGCCACTTGAACGGCCTTGACAAATTCCCCATCGGTCCATTGCAAAAAGCGGCTTTACATCCTGCGGCGGACGACGGTCTCTGCCTCTCCGGGGTCCTTGGGAAGGGCGCGATGGGCGGAGAGGAAAGCCAAATCCGGTCTGAGCATCTGGCTGACTGTGCACCAACCATGGAATAGATTCGCTGTAGGAGCCCCATTTCCAAGGGCTCTGCAAAGATGCAATAATACCCAATGAACTGACTGCGGTCCTTTAAAATGAGACAAATATTTTAGAAATTTTGGTTCCCCAGTCAGAAGACGCAGATTTAAAATTTGCTTCATTCAAAAAGAGTTTCCCTTCGCTTATTCTTCAAACTCCTCTTTGGAGGCCCTCGTGGTCTCTGTCCTAGTAGAGCCTCACCTTGGTTTGTCACAGGTTTTATTATGGTTAAAAAAGACCCTTTCCTCTCCCCCCCCCACGCTAACTAACCTTCAGTATATTGAAATTGCTGTCAAACAAAAGAGGAGCCAGGAAGCCCCCCCAAAGCCCAAGGAAAAGAAAGCGGTGAGAAAAGGGCAGGGCCCTGTTATCCTCAGCCGCTAAGCTCAAGGCGCCCCGTTGGTCCTCCGTTTGTTTGGGCCTCCAGATCCGTGTTTGACTGCAATTTCCCTGTCAAGATTTTTCCAAAGTAGTAGTAGTAGTAGTAGTAGTAGTAGTAGTAACAACAATAATAATAATAATAATAATAATAATAATAATAATAATAGAGTTGGAAGGGACCTTGGAGGTCTTCTAGTCCAACCCCATTCAGGCAGAAAACCCTATACCCATTTCAGACAAATGGCTGTCCAGTCTCTTCTTAAAAACTTCCAGTGTTGGAGCACCCACAACCTCTGGAGGCAGGTTGTTCCACTGGTTAATTATTCTCACTGTCAGGAAATTTCTCCTTAGTTCCAGGTTGCTTCTCTCCTGGATTAGTTTCCATCCATTGCTTCTTGTCCTGTCTTTCAGGTGCTCTTCTTTGTGGCAGCCCCTGAGATATTGGAAGACTGCTATCACCCCTCGTCCTTCTCTTCATTAACTAGACATACCCAATTCCAGCAACCATTCTTTATACGTTTTAGCCTCCAGTCCCCTAATCATCTTTGTTGCTCTTTTCTACACTCTTTCTAGATTCTCAGCATCTTTTTTACATGGTGACCATCTATCCTGTTCCTTTGCATTTGTTTTTTCTTGCCTAAATGTAGAACCTTACTTTTTTCAACACTGGATTTCATTTTGTTAGACAGCGCTCAGTGTTCAAGTCTGTCCAGGTCATCCTGTATCCTAAGCCTGTCTTCTGGAGTGTTGGCTATTCCTGCCACCTTGGTGTCGTCTGCAAATTTGATGAGTTCCCCATCTATCCCTTCGTCCAAATCATAGATGAAGATGTTGAAGAGCACTGAGCCCAGAACAGAGCCATGGGGCACCCCACTGCTCACTTCCCTCCATGTAGGTGCGGCTCCATTGAGGACCACATGCTGAGTGCACAAAAATGATTTGCCGTTGCCTCCTTCCTGGGGCTGGAAGGCTGGGGCTGGCCCAAGGCTCACCCAGCTGGCTTTGTGCCTCTCCATCTGCCACTTTCTAGCCCAATCGCCCTCCCTGTTGGCTGCCGGAGCCTCAGCCGGGCTCTGCTTTCCTAGTCGCGGGCCGAAAGGAGGAAGGCGACAGTCAGCTGTTTATTTCTGCAGAAACAGAGAGCCCCTAATTTGGGGACAGGGATCAAATGCCCTGAGATGAAATTAGCTCAGACCTTTGTACAAAATGGTTCTTTGTCTTTTACAGCTGGTCAATCTATGTGATTTCTTTCACCAGGTTAGTGTTTACATTTATATTTGTCCTTTTTGATACAAGATTACATGTGTTGTATTTAGCACAAGATAGCTAACCTAATCCTGTCACTGTCAGGAGTTTCCTGCTGCAGGTCTCTGGATGGTTTGTCAGTTTCGCAAGGAAGCCGGCAAAGAGACAGGGAGATTAGACAGTCTGCTGGCTAATTTAATCAATTCTAACTTTTGGTGACTTGTTTCTACACAATCTGATCAATTCCTGGATGATTTGGTGTTGAAACATTATTTGAGACCTTTTCTTATAAATGGGATTCCTTTCCTGCAGAAGTTATCGCTTTTGCTGCTGATCCTCTAGGATTTAAAGGGGACCGTCCCTATTTGAAAGGGAAATTACTTTATATTCTTCTTCATTTTATATTCTTAAGCTGTCATCAAGCTATCATCGACGCACCACAACTGGGTCTCTCGGAGTTCTTGAGGGTTAATGGCGTCCTTAAGGTAGAGGTTTCAATTCAGCCCACAAAACGCCTACAAAGTCCTGGGAGAGCTATTCCCAGGGCATCTTCCTAAGGAAATCAGCTGCAGCCCCCGGCTGGCTCTTGAAACATTTTTCCTGACTGGGTCCCAGGTCCACATCTGAGGTGAAGGACCTGACTCCACGGGTGAAACCCTGGAGAGGCCCAGGAGGAGACTTGGTCACCTCAGAGTGACCAAGGAGATTGTTGGGCTGCATCCACCAACAGCCCCGGTTCCAGCCTGAGGGTCAGAGGTGCCCCCTCTGGGCAGCTCCCTGGAGCGGTCACTGTCCAGAGGTGGGGGAGGCAAGGGGGTACTGTGGCACCTCTTCTTTTTAATTTCCACCTATCCACCCCTTAACCCAGGCCCTCTGAGTCTGGGCTCATGATGTCACTTACGCCACAGGCCAAGCAGTTCCAGAAACCTCGTATGAATATGGATGCATTTCCAATGAATTTCATATCACGCTCATGCCTGTCTCTCAGGTGGAGTGGAAAAGGACACCGAGAGCTTTGGCCAACTTCTGCTCAAAGGAAAAACTAGGAATAAAGTGTCAGAAAGCCCAAAGTCTTAGTATTTGCCTAAAAACATCCTAACATTCATAATTAGCAAATTAATGAGAATGCTATGGAACGAGTGTGTGCTTATAAATGCCTTGGAGGGCTGTTCCAGATTTTGGAGAAGGTTTTTATATCTGGCAAGCGATGCTCGGTGTAACTCCTCGGCTATTCTGATATTTTTCCCCTTGGAAAGGAGTCTGCTTTATCCCTGGCAGCTTGCAAGAGTTTCCTGGCCAAGGTCATTGCCCAACTTCTCTACCAAGTTTCTACTTTTACAGGACTTGATAGCCTTGTTCAGCTGTAGGTCTTTCGGTCTTGAAGTTGTTTGGTCTTCAAGGCATTCAGTCCCAAGAAGCAGGAGTTAAAAATTCTGTCCTTTTGTTTAGAGACCACCGTAGTCTTCATCAATGCCAAAGTCTGGTGGTGTTTTTTTCTTAACAGTGGACTAAATTTATCTTTTTCCTCAGTGTTTCACATCCCTGGGGTTCTCAGAGACCATATTAAGGCAACCTGGTTAAAACAAACTTCATTCTCTAAGACTCTCTCTAGAAAGCTTTTGCCCATGAGGGCTTAATTACACCAGAGGCGCAGCATCCTTGAAGGGTGTATGTGGTACCTAAGCCTGGTTGATACCTGGGGAGGGGGGGAGATTGGGGGTGTTGTGGTGAGTGCCAAGAGCACAGACAGGCAAGCGAAGGCCACAAGTCACAGATTGGGGGGGGGATACATAGTACAGGGGGCAGGCAGCTGGGGGACGGTGTGTGCTATGGAATACGTGACCGCTGGGATGCATGCACGTAAATATACCCAGATTCAAGAAGAGAGCAAACACACACCTCCGACGATGCAAGCCATTACTTCACAACAGGTACCAGATGTGGCCAATGGTGGGAAAGAGGCTGGAAGGAATTCCAGACATTCTGCTCTGTGCCCTTCCCTTAGCTCACAATGTTCCTGTTCAAAATAGAAGTTTGAAACCTTTTTTGGCCGTGTATCAGACAGGACTTCTCCTCTCAGATCTCTTGGGACGTCAGCGAAGAAGTCCCGTCTGCCGTCTTCAAACTACAGCCTCAGAATCGCTGCCTAGCTTGATCTCTGCTCTCATCCGTTTCTTCATGTACCTGCCGGTATTTACCGGAAGCCCCACAGACTCTGCTGGAGAGAGCGAGAGAGAGCGTCTCCCTGAGGACGGGGGCTCCGGCACCCTCAGCCCGGAAGGCCAAACCTCTGGTCCGGGTGACCGACCCAGATCGGATCCTGCAGCGTTATCCTGGGACATGTCGATTTACCCATATTTCTGCCCAGCAGCAGCCATGGTGTGTGTGTGTGTGTGTGTGTGTGTGTGTGTGTGTGTGTGTGTGTGTGAGAGAGAGAGAGAGAGAGAGAGAGAGAGAGAGAGGCATCAGCAGCATTGCAGGACTGTGACATAAGCTCACCCTTTTTCTACGCATGTTGCAACAGTGCCTGCTTCTCCTTCCTAGCGGTGCTTTCCTCGTCCTGACAGAAAGGGCGGGATCCCCTAGCAGTGGCTGTGTCTGCTTTATTTTTCCTCCATAGAAAGGAAGGAACACGTACATGTAGAAGTGGGTGGGGGTCTTTTAATTTTGTATGCGTGTGTGTGCCCACATCTTCTCTCAACTTCCAAAATGGAAACCTTAATGAAAATGCAGGCATAGAAAGAAAATTATTAATAGGCAGAGTTTAGTCTTCACTACAAGCACTCAGAATTACTTACTAGCACAACTTTAGTAATTTAATATTAGTTAGCCTAGGCTACTAATAAGCTACCGTATAATTGAACTGGGAATCTGTGCAACTTAATCTAATGCAGCACTTCACTTTTCCGAGTTAACTGTGACGCAGACAACAAGAATCTCGAGGGGACCCCCCCCACATTCCACGCAAAAGGGACTTGCTTGGGTCCTGAAGGGCTCCTTTGCACTGAGCTCCACTTGGCCTCGCGAAGGGCCCTTCCAGTTCCTCCCTGGAGGCTCCAGCACTTGTGACTGGGGAAGGCGAGGCGCTCTGAAGGCTGCCTTTGGCCCTCCAGGACTTCTGTAGCCCAGGCCTGACTGCAGGAGAGTCAACGCCCTGGCACTGAGGGGCTGTGTTGCTGGTCTGGGTCTCTGGGGCCGCGGCTGAAGGGAGAAAAGCAGCAGGACCGGTCAGCGCTTGCCAAGGTCACGGCCTCCTCCTCCTCCTCCTCAGAGGGAGGGCAGGGAAGAGCAGCTGCAGGCCGCTTGTTTCTAGGAATGGCTTCAACTCTGCTGAAGTGGCCGGCCAAAGAGCCTGCAGGCGCCTTCAGGTGGGGTCAGGGTCAGGGTGCTCTCTACTTCGGGGGGCCATGAGGAAAGAGGTCTCCAGGCAGGGTGGGGGTGCCTTTAGAACTGACTGCCCCTCCCAAACGCAGAGAACCTCCTGGCTCCCAGCTCTGTTGCCGGCCACCCCCTGAGCGGAGCCTTCGTCTACCTTATCGCAAGAACACTTTTAACTTATTGGTTACAGTTGGGAGGAGGAATCTGTCCCCTGCCCTGGGCAAAAGGGACACCAGGAAGTTTCAGAAGCCTCTAATTTCAGCTGCCATGAAACTTCATACGTTGCAGTAATAAAAGGAACTATAAACCTACCTCATCATTAAAGCTAAGCAAACAACTCCTCCTTGGAACATCATGTGCAAATACTGGGGTGACTAATAAAGCCGGAAGAGCATGGGGGCACTTAAAGAGCAGCTTTTCTGTCTCCACAGTTTCTCTCTCAACTTTGGAAGCATATTTTTATTAAGTGCATGTAAGAGGATGATCTTAAACATCAAGAAGAGAGTGCATAATAATTGTGTGTTCCTCTAATGCTCTCCGAAGGCCTATTCAGAGTCCATTCTGGAAGACAACAATATATCACAAAGTTCTACAAAGTTCCTCCTAATGAACACATGCCAATTTGAGAGCAAGAATTCTGGCCTCAAAAGACAATATAACCACTGCTCTTAGTCTCTGGGTACTTCGCTACTTTATTTCAGAGCGATTCAAAATCTAATTAAATTTCTAAACTCTAATGAAATTACAGTAGAAAAATCATTTAGGACTATATTATGCACAATTACTCATGGCTGAAAATTACTGCTGGCCTCTTTCACCAAGAGAAGGTCCCTGGGGAGAGGCCGGCTGTTCTGACCACAAATAAATCCAGCGCCATTCCCTCGAATTTACAAAGTGAAGGTAAAAACTAGAATTAATTGCAAATATATATCCTGCTGCTGGCGAGAGGCTGGGGAGTTGAGCTGCACAAAGGTTCAAGGAGCCGAGCAACCCCAGAACCAAGCAATAATGGACCTTTCCACCAACGGAAGGAATGGAGACGTTTGATTTCTGTCTTTGTTCCTTCAGTACACAAAGAGCGTAACTGGGAGAGGAGGCAAAAGCAGATGGAAAGGCATCTTCCAGCCAGGGCAAAGTTTACATTAATATCAAGACCAGTTTTAGGACTAAGCCTCGTGATTGCACATTATTCCACAAAAATGCATTATAAGGGGAAAATGAGCAAAGAGATAGAGATCTGCACCTAAATATGCCACTCAGAGCTCATGATTTATTTTATGAACTCTCTCCTTCTGACCAAGATTGGACACCTCTATTTATTTGTCTAATGTTATCCATGTACGTGACAGGAGGGCACACACTGACGTGATCGCCCGTAGAGGTGCAAGAGACTGTAGTGACCGGGTGTGCCTCCGGCCAACGCTTGACCAGCTGTGACCATTCCTGGGCAGGGATCTATGCAGTGGTGTGAGCTCTTCCCTCAGCTCAGGTGCTGCTTGTTGGGGTGGGGGGTGGGTCAGGTTCAAGGAACGGGGTGGGCAGAAAAGGGTTAAGCCTCCCGGCTACAGTCACACAGCAGAAAAAACACCCTCTCCCATTGGTGGCAGCAGACACGCCTTCCCACTGAGTCTCCACACCTGAAGTCTCGGTCAGCCAGGAGATCCACTCTGCACTCCACAGAACCTTTGCACCCCTGACCCCTCGCGTGGTCCCCGTTTTAAAAGCCAAATGCCAGGTGCTTGGCCAGCTTACCCAATAAAATACTTTTCTCTGCATTGTATTATTTAAAATTCCCAGATTTTTTTTCATCATTTAAACAGCTACTACGGGAAGCACAAGGAAAGCACACCTCTGACTGCAGCCTCTTTGTCACTTGTGCTGCGTCAGTGTGCCTCCATCTATCACTGGGCTCTAATCAAACCAGTGACTTAATAGGCTTTGTCAGGAAATGGGCAAGCGACTCACACTTCACACTTTGGTGCTTCCACTCAGGCCATGTGTCAAGTTCCATCTGGGTGAGTCCCGCCTGCCTTTGGACCTGGCGCACACACCGGGGGGGGGGGGGAAGACGCCAGTTGCTTTTCACACCTTACATGGGGTGCCCAGGAGGCAGGAGGCTGGGTCCCCTCTGGGGGGCGCTCTTTAGGGACTGCCGTCCTGGAACAATCATAGAGTTGGTATTTTGGTCAATGATGTTTGTTTATGAATAAGCATAACTTGGGTTACACAAGCTGCCTTTTGTCCAACAATGAGGCAATCAATTAGTCAAAAACAGGATGTGGGACCCAAAGGGCCGTTTGTAGTAAAAGGGAAAGGGAATACGAACCTATCAAATGGGAAACCTTGTGAATGCCACAAAACAGAAGGAGGGTGAGAAGTTGAAGAATGTCGTGATATAGTTGAAAAAACCCGAGAGATCCCAGAGAGCATTGGGCGGTGGGTCCCCCTCCCCTCCTAGCCTACTACTTGTCAGCTGGGATCAGTGTGATTACAGCTGTCTGGATTTAGATCAGGTTTCCTCTGTTCAAGGTCAGTCCCCAGAAGACAGTTGCCCGATTTGGGGCGCTGGCTCTGCAGTCTGTAACCGGAGTGCTTCCCTGGTCAGTGGGAAGAGCCGCCCTCCGGCCTTGGCTGGGGAAGCCTCTTTCCCCCTCGGGAAGGAAGAAGGTGGAAACTGAAGGGTCTTTTGTCTCACTTCAGCCTCCAAAACTCTCAGCCAGGTGGTAAATATCAAGCCACTGACCTTGGATCTGGCTGTGTCCATGTATCGTTCTGACATGCAGAACCGGGAACACCGAAGGGCATTCCCCCCCTGATCCACCCCTGAGTCTCACGGGCAAGATTTTAAATGCTTTTCCTTTCAGGAGCAACACAAAACACGGGGAGGAAAGAGATTGTTTTGGAAATACATCAGTTGCTGAAGGGGAAGAGAAACAAACAGAGCGAGGACCCATCGCTTCCACCCAACGGTTTAAAATTGCTCTGTTCCTTTGGGCCCCCTTTTCTTGCACTGACACAGACTTCGTGGCCTGGGGAATGTCTTAGGGAGCAGGGCTGTCGTTGCGGGGGGGGGGGCAGGACTGAGGCAACCAGGAGGAGTTGCACCCCATACCTGTTCACTCTTCCAAGGGCTATGCCAGGTACCAATCCTCTTTCTCCTTAGCCTCTCCTCTCTGCCCGCTTTCTGCGGTCAGATTGAGCGTCCTGTTGTGCGTACCCCAAAAAATCAACTCAAGGTGGGGGGGGGGGGTTGGAAGCTGCGCAAGTCATCCACATGAGAAGAGCAAAGCCCTGGGAAGGGCCTGCGCTTAATTTCTTTTAAATCAAGTTGGTTACATTATTTCGTTTGCAATTCTACTCCGAGGGCTAAAATAAAGTTTTATAAAGGCCCTGTAATCCTGCATTTCCAATAGTTAAATCTCTGTTGAGTTCTTCTTC